AGGTCACAAAAGACACCTATTGCATCTTGTGACCTTTCCCAGGCGTTATAAATATGTTTGACAAGTGCGACGCCCGCATCTGTTGTCGATCTGCCTTTAGTGAATCCATATTGCTCATCGTGAAAGATTTTGTTCACATTAAAATGAACTAAAAGTTGATTTAATATTAGCTTTTCAAAAACTTTACTAAGAGATGGCAATATGGAAATAGGTCTATAGTTGCCTGGATCATTTTTATCACAACTTTTGTAGACAGGTATTATCTTACTAAATTTCATAAGATCTGGAAATATTCCAGAATCTATGCACTTGTTAAAAATAGAAGCCAAATGTGGTGCAATATATGGCATTATTGTGCTCATTAATTTTATGGACATACCCCATAAATCCTCTGTATTTTTAAGATTAATAGAATTCAAAACTTTTATAATATCATAAGTATCTACGTGATTAAATTTAAATGTATGTAGGCAAGGGGTAACATTATTTCTTAAAACATTAATTGCGTCTGCGGGAGATGATTTTAATGTACGTGTGACATTAACCGCAATGTCTGAAAAATAGCTTTCGAAACTACTCGCAATTTCGTTATCTGATATTATGGGAGTATTACCTATAACTAGTTTTATAGGTTCCCTGAATATCTTGGTTCTTCCAGATATACGGGTAATGATGTCCCATGTGGCTTTAGTTCTATTGTTTGAATTTATTATGCTATTTCTTATATAAATAGATTTTGCCTGAATACAGACTTTTTTAAATATTTTTGAAAATGTTTGTACCCGTTTAAGGAAGTTAGGATCGTGATTCCACTGCCTCATACTATATAATTCATACAATGAATCCCTACTTTTGTATATACCCACTGTTGCCCAGTCACTAAATTTTAATTTTGAATTCTTAACAATTGTGCGCGATTTAAAAGTATCATTATAAGAAGATATGAGGAAGTCAACCATTGATCTATAAGAGTCATTAGGGTTATTGACTCCTATATCTTTATTTAACATATGATGTGCCACTTTATCTCTAAAAGCATTTATTCTATTAGTAGTGACTGGTCTACACTTGATCTTAAGTTTGCTTGTATTAGCTTTTTCATTTATTGAAAATTTTAGCCCAAAGTGATCCGAGCTCAGATGATTTATAACATATTTATCATATACATCACTGTGACAGAATACATTATCTATACATGAGGAGGATAAGTTAGTAACACGAGTTGGTTCATGAAAAAGATTTTTAAGTTCAAATGAGTTAAATAAATTTAAAAGTCGTTTACTGAGTTGTGTTACTTGTAATAAATCCACATTAAAATCTCCACAAACTATTAATGATTTACTACTTGAACATAGTTTTTTAAGAACATCATCCATTACACACTCAAACTGATCGAAATCACCTGAGGGGGGCCGGTATACGCATACTATAATATACTGTTGACTCTCAACGCACGATAATTCAATAGAACGTTCGACAGAGTGTGCCACTATATCCTGTCGATTTTTACAGACTATATCAGTTCTAACTAATACAAGAGAGCCACCGCGAATAGCATTTACTCTTACGAACGAACTTAACAATTTATAATTTTCTATATTAACAATATTACAGTGCTTATGTAACCATGTCTCTGTGAAGCAGATGACATGTATATTAAATTTCCTAAGGAACAATTCAATTTCAGGTTCTTTGCCGCTTAAGCCTTGTATATTTTGATGCACAATATTTAATTTAAGTGGCCTAGGCGTTGTCTCAATGTTTAGTTTAAACTAACATTGTTTGCTGAAAGATTATTACATAATAAAATATTCTTAGTTGTACTATTTACAACTGGGTTTTGTATATTATATGCTACTAGAGTAGCAATTAGTTTCTTATAATATAGTGGCAAATACAAAGTATTTTTTGTCACCTTAAAACTAGATTTAATAAAATTATTTAAGTCGAAATAAAAGAAAGCGTCACTATGACGGTGAGTTATGTTATATATAGTCATGTTAAGACTATATATGTATTTATTTTGTTCCTCTGAAAGGAAAGAGGAATATGGAAATGAGCATAATATAAATTTGCACTTAGTTTTATAATGTAAGTTAAGTAATATTTCCATATTATTAACAATTTCCTGTTTCCTTACAGATGAACTATCCGAAAATCAAAAACATATTTTAAAATTGAGATCATGTCGGCGAGGAATGGAGAGAAACATGATTGGTGTCCCTAAAAAAGATAGGTTAAGAGCAGTTGAAATACGATCCAGTACCAAAGTAGAAGATATAATAAGGAAAGTAAGACAGTTGAAGTGGAGACGAAAAGGACACATTGCGAGTGATATTAAGTTAAAATGGACAAAAATTATAACCAAGTGGCAACCACGCGATGGCAAACGGAAAAGGGGGAGACAGTCAAAAAGATGGATAGACGACATAAGAAATATTGGAGGCGCTACCTGGTCTCGACAAAAATGAGTGGAAACAGCTGGAAGAGGCCTATGTCTCACAGGACACGCTGATCACTAAACCGGAAAACCCGATCTGTTAGATTTAAGTTTTTTAATACTATTAGATTATACTGTGTTTAGTTCCTCAGCATTGAAGTCTTAATAATAATAAAAAGCTTGCAATTAAAGTTGAGAATGTGTGTTTGTGGTACGAATTATCAACCTGATAGATTAGATGAAAACTAACTTTTACACAATCGATGATCAGAGTAATCGCTTATTTGAATTGTCATTTTCAACGTAGTAGGGCCACGCAGCAGCCTCGGCTCTTGCACGAATGGGCAGGCTCGTTCGGGTAAGTACCACGACCTCACCGAAGACCGGCGTAAAGTATGACAAATACGTTCGATTTCGTCTGGTGAATGAGGTAGCCGGAGCCCAGTTTTCAAAAGATTGTCAACGCCTCTGTAGCCCTCGGGTGTAGCATGTCCATGGGCAGCAGTATTAACTCAACATCAGGCGAACCGCCTGCTTGCTTGTCAAATTTTTACATAAAAAAAATCATTTCGGTCGTCCATATTTATATGATATATCCGTAAATTATTTTATTATGAGTGTAGAGCTTTGCAAATATAATAATAGTTAATATAAAGTTCTACTGTTGCTTGAATAGGGAAGCCTTTGCCAATAACACCATACCACAGAAACGTCAAACGACAAAACGTAAATTATTTTATTATGAGTCTAGAGATTTGCAAAAGTTAAATATAATAGTTAATATAAAGTTCTACTATTGCTTAAATTGGCAAGCCTTTGCCAATACATACCACGTTACCACGAATAGACGAATAGCTATTGGATATTGATTTCATTTAAGTTCAGATATAAACAAAAAGGAAACGATGTAAGTTAAAAATTAAAACGTAGTACAAATTAAAGTCTATCTACCACTTGTATTTACCGTCGAAGTTAGTTATTATTACGTAGTATTCGCATTATTAAATAACAAAATTAATTAAACAACAGTGAAGTAAAAAGAAAAATCAGAATGATCTTCTTAATGATCAGAATGATCAATTCAAAGAGTTGCATCCTTTTGGCAACTCAAATAGCATTTGAAAAGCCATCTGACAGCTGATTAGTTGACGTCTACGATGACCATTGTTTCAGAAGCCGGGCGTTAATGTTGTAAATGTTGGATAAATAAATATTTACATTGATATATCAAACTAAAATAATAAAATACGCAGTATAAAATAATGTTGGGAACCTATAATTACTAAATGCCTGCTTTTTTAGATGTATATTTTGTTTCGATCGTCCCCGAAATCTGAGCTGCACCGTGAGAGTTATTTCAAGGGATTTTTTGATTAACCTGAATAATTAATTTATAATGTATTTCTTTGCGATGTTTATGTACCGTACTCCTCTATATTTAATTAACTAAATTTTTATTGCAATTAGCTTAAAATATGTTTCATTAATTGGATTCATTCAATATACTTATATCATTTCATCATTGTAATAATATTGTCAACAAGATACAAGAATTACAGTTCTTTAACCTGTATTATGCTTAAATGAAAACACTTTGTGTTTTCATTTAAGTTTGATGTGTTGATATCCTGTGTTGATGCCTCAAAAGGCAACAATAGTTTGTTGTGAAAGAACATTGCTTTAAAATATGTTTGTAGTACATTGAGTCTGCGGCGGCGTTTGTTATGCGACACAGAGGTACTCTATATTTCAATGTGAATTGTCACATTTACCGTTGTTATACACTCGAAAAATGAACAAAATAAACACTGAGTACAATAACTTCTAGCGGTATTCTCATCTACATAGTAGTATAATATGATTTCTGGCTGAAGTAGACATTGTTTAGCATGAAATAAAATGTGAATGTATGGCTTGTAATAAAACACAACCACTTTATATAATATTTCATGTTTCTGATGTTTCAATACCCGAAAAATACAGGTGGTATTAGGATATATTACATTAGAGCTTATAATACATTAGAGCATGTTTAATTTTTTTAACTCAATTTAAAAAAATATATTTTGTTTTAAATTAGCATCAAATTATTACTATTAAATTAAAACTGCCTTAATCATTCGGCGCGTGCGTCACAAGTTACTTTCGCCACATTTCGTTGTCAGGGCCAACCGTGCAACAATCAGGCATTGAATCGACACTAATTTCGGACAAATCACATTCATCACCTCGACTACGATCTCCAAGGCCATTGGATGTTTTGCTATCTAGATGTAAGTATTCAATTATGGATTGTTGCTTTAATGACAAAGGACCTCCGTAAATTTATTGGACAGCAGTAAATCGTCGTGTTTTATAAACTAAACAAAAGCCGGACAATACCAATAGATGCCATTGTTAATGTATAAAGTTTGGGCAAAGGGTATGAACGAGTTGGCTGCGATTTCGTCATGTATACGTCGAGAACAGCTGTTTGGGCTTTGACCGACCCATCGGAGCCAGTGTCGGGCCAATCCTCGGCGCGACGGCCTCGCAGCCCACAGACACACTTACAACTTACTTGCAAAGGATCCGCCAGAAACAACCGAAACTGCTGCCATTTGGAACTTCACCGGCGTATGATATAGTCATATCGAGTGCAACTTAACAACTATGAATTTAATATTTATTTATACACACACACGTTTTGTTGGCGCGAGCTTGAAACGAGACACACGCGGAAAATTAAATACGTTTTAGAAAGTAATAAAAAGTTTATTGACGTTAGTTACTGGGGAAGACGAAGGGAAGTTATTACGTCTAGGTGCACTTTTATTTAGTTACATTCTGGTGTAGTTTTATGCACTCTGCCTCCCCCGGATTTTTTATTAAAATACATAAAGGGTAAGGCGCACAAGAGCACCGTCCACAAAGTAGCGGCAACTGTGACTGATGAATGATACTCGCTTTACTTGGCAGTTGGCGCTTGGTATTTTGCCCAAGTTACTCGTTGTTTGTCGATGCGTATAGAGCAGCGCAGACGCAGGTAACTTCGCACGCTGCCTTAGGCTAGTTCCACGTCAGCACGTTACCAAGAGATGGCGTTTTGAAATAATAAATATTTACGTAATTATAATTTGATTAAATTAACGTATTTTATAGAAAAACTGATACCGATTAATAACGGACAATGATAGTGTAATTAAAAAAAAACATTTGTTTGAATCAATAATAATTTTGATTAAATATATTAATTTGTATTTATAATTGTTTTATAATTAATTAATAGTGTAAAAATTTTCAGACCGAAGTATTGTTAATTAATTTGACCGCCTCAATCTATAGGATACTGGCGACATCTTTTGGTAAAAAAATATTACGTTTAATCTTTAAAATTGTAGTGTAATATATGTAAAACAGATGGCACTTCCACTTATCCTATTCACTTTGGTCACAAGTGTTATTCCATCAAACAAGATATTGTTATTATTGATTCATGAAAACCGCATTAAAATATCAACAATTTCTTCGCTAATACCGTATTGAAATAATATACTCTACCTGAGACGCTAACATGAAAAGCTACGAGAGCGGAGTAAAATAGAAGTTTCTTCTGGAATAAAATCATAGCCAGTTGCATGGAATTAAAACCTCCTTGTTGACAACTCTTTTGAAGGATTCAAATTTTCAGCTACACCGGTTAGATCACATGTACACAGCCCTGAACGTGATCGCGAAAGAAGTGATCCCACCTGCAGGAGACGACAGCAGGGAGCTGGTGATCCCAGCCATGGCACCCAAAGAAAGCTCAGTTGACTGAACGGTTACTTGGGGCTGCAGGCGATCAAGATCCTCATCTTCACGCACGTACTTGGGGAAGCGAGTATATCCCCGAGCCGGGGCTACTTTGTAAGTCAGAGAAGCCGCGGTTGCGTTCCTTTAGGAGATCCCGTACCCCCCTCATCAGGACTAAATATTTTAGTCGGTAGGAATCCGACAAAACCTCTACCGTCTTGGTAGACAGGTATCCTTTGATGGATTTCCCAACGAAAAAAAAAAGATGAACACAGCCATGTTCCAATGTTCTTCTTAAATTAGGCCCTCTAAACACCTATTTTAAAAGTTGCGTGAAAAGATGCAGAAATTTTCAAGAGTCTGGAGTCTGACTTTTCACTAGCATCGGTATAATCGTAAGAGAGATATTTATATCGGGAGAAAGAAAATAGTAAAAAAATTATAGCCGAGTTTCTTCTAAGACTGAACTAATAGTTTCTAAAGTCAATTCAGTTCTAGAACTTGACTTATGCGTCAGTTGCCCTACGAAACATTAAAACCGGTTGATCCGTGTGCGAGGATCGATGACGACAAAAATAACAATTTTCTTCTTTTCAAAATTTGTATAATTGCAATACAAGACATATAGAATGTGCAGCCGTTGGGTTTTCTATTATTTACCTGTCGGAACTACTGGGTTGTCAGGTGTAAACAGGTAATGTGGTTGAATTCAAACCCTAATTGATTATATTGTACGATTGCATACCGATTTTGTCATTCTTTTGCGATACAGGATCAGGTTTTTAAGACGAACATCTATCGAAAATACATCCTAAGGGATGTCACCGCTTACATCAGTTGAGCCGTGCTCGAAACTGACCGCGCCTGGCTTTATTGGGACCGGTCCATTATCACGGACAGGACGGTTCTCGCGAACAGATCTGATATCGTGATGATGGACCGGCATTTCTTTTGGCAATGAGAGTTTTTTGAGTCTTATAAGTCAAAACGGAAAATTTTCACTTGAAACCCCATTTCATCAGTAAACCACAGAATATTTTATGGGAAATTACGTTGCTCATTAGTATCTTTGATTTTCATGTGCATTTTAATTTTCAAATGGTTCAATACTTTTTGGGACTAAATTAGAAAAGGACACGGGCCGGCCCTAATATAAATACAATATCGGGATAATCATGCTCCGGTTTGCGAATATGAGATTACCGACTGCCTATATTTGCTTCAGTCCTAGAAGTCGTAGGCCGAGCTATCCGCGTTAATACGTAGGGAAATAGTAAGTAGAATAATGCTACCTATTATTTTTATATTTTATATATTTGAAAATTAATAAGTCGAATAAGTTAAAAATTTGCTTCCTAAACCCCGGATTTCTTGGTACTGGACACGACGAGTTCATAGCTGCTATGGCGTATCACTCGGTAGACATAATGAAATAAAAAGGCCGCCTTGCGTTCCAGGGTATCGACTGCGACGCGTTCCTCGATCCCGCCGGATAACACTACACCCACAGTTAGTGCAACAACAAACACACTAGTTCGCCCTCGCTTCCGAGCACGGCGAGACCAACACAACGCGTACAAGGTACACCCGCGTTCCGGGGCGGTTCTCACCGCTCCCAGCCACCGATTAGCTAATCGCACAGTCGACGGCCATCGGGGTTTCGGTCCGAACCGCGACCTCGATGGCCCTTAGATGACACACCATAGTTAACGCACGCATGAGCACATGCGTGGTCCTCCCCACAGCGGAGGGACCAAACCCGTGGGTTCTGACTAGCCCACCGTTTCTGCTTCAGATGAAGCTTTAATAGTCTCGGGACACAAAGCAAAAACATCAGTTGATACAAGATACAAGACGTTCCTCGGCCTCCCGAGGTTCGTGCGCGCGGTGGCGGTGTGGGTTTTTATTTGAGACAGGGCTTATCATCACGAATTATTCAGCATCCAAGTTGTCCCACGGTGGAGCAAATGTGGTTAAATATTAAAATTAACGGTAAGTCTCTTATCTTCGTTACTGCTTATCGTCACCCCTGGTTAAGCGTGTCATTGTTTTTGGGCGCGCTGAGCGAGTCTTTAGGCTCTTTTGTAGGCTACGATCAAACAGGAGGTTTTAACATCGACATTTTAAATAAAAATTGTGTCAGTACCAAAATGCTTTCAGACTTCCTAATCTGTCATAGCCTTGTGTAATATGTTGAGGAACCTACATTTTACAGAAGACAGTGAGACACGCTTGTAGATTGTTTGTACAGATGCATCAGTGTCATACATAAAAGTAGATTATATTGATGACCTCAGTAGTCATGCTTTTATTGTATGTGAACTTAAAATTTCCAAGCCTACGTTTCAGCCAAAGTGACGTATAGACCTTTGAGTGAAATGAATGGGCATAAATATCTTTAAGCAAGGTTTAATAACATGCACTAAGCATCGCCTAATAACATAAACGATATGGTTTACTCTTTCAATAGCACTGTATTAGATAAGATATATTCAATGCTCACGCACCTTCTAAAACTGTTTATATAAAAAATACTATCCCTGGATAACGTATAACATAAGATGTATGATGAAAACGCGTAAAGAAGCATAAGTTAGAGCTCGAAAAACAAAACTTACTCCACTTATGGATTATTATAGGGAACATAATCAATAGTTAGTAAAGCGATTTTTCCAGAAAAGACTGCCTATTTCGAATTTTATGTTAACTCCAAACTAATTAGCCTAAAATAATGTGGAAACATATTAAACAACAAGTACAAATAAAAAATAAGGATATCTCTACATTCTCATTTTAGTGACCCTATTGCCTTAAACGATTATTTTTTGAAAATTCCTGGAAAAAATTATGTTTCACTGTCCCTTCTTACTTTCTTTGAATTTAATGGCACTAATGATAGCTCTTTTCATTCCAAAGAAGTCTCAGAAGATCAGGTTGTCAAAATTATAAACTCTTTGCGATCTAATGCAGTGGGATGCAATGGCATTTCACTTGATGTGTTAAAGTTATTACCTAAAGATGCTATTACTATAATCAAGTAACAAAGTACCTTGAATCAAATAATATCCTTCCTAAGCTGCAGGCTGGGTTCCGGAACAAGCACAGCACTACACTGCGCTTATAGCGGTCGTAGATGATATATTGACTGCACAGGCGAGTGGGGAAGGTACGATTTTAACGCTTCTTGATTTCTCACGCGCGTTTGAAACCCTCAATATTCCATTACTTCTGTCCAAATTATATTTTATGGAATTAGTAGAAGCGCAATCCATTGGTTTTCCAGTTACTTTGAAAATAGGTCACAACGGGTTGAAGAGCACTTAAGTGGAAGGGACAAAACAATTTCTGGAGAGCTTGTGGACCGAGGTGTACCACAAGGATCCATCTTAGATCCATTAATTTTTATAATATATAGTACAGATCTTATTAAAAACATTGAGTATCGCAAGTATCACATGTACGCTGACGATTTACAGATATGCATTTCATTCATCCATACATGATGTAATGATGTTCACGCAGCGTTAGCAAAATTAAATTTGGATCTAAGTCGGATATCTTTGTGGTCAGAGCGTAACGCACTAGTCCTCAATCCAAAGAAGACGCAGTATATGATCTAGAGTCATCAATCGCCAAATCAAAAAAATATCATACTAAGTCACCCTGCCATTACCTTAAACAACGAATCCATTGTAAGAGAGGCGGAAGTCAGAAATTTGGGGGTAATAATGGACGAAAAACTGCGTTTTGAGAAGCATATTATGGGTATTGCACGTAACTGCTTTTACAGGTTGAAAGTACTCTATCGTATTCGTGATTACCTAAGTGTTCCCTTACGTAGTTACGTAGTTAGTCTT